CCACGCCGCTTCTTCCAGCCTTGCCCGGCACGTGCGAAGAGAGCACGGAAAGGTAGTCTATGGTCGGGCATACGCAATACGTGACCAATCCATCGGGGGCGGTGTAGAGCGATTACTCCTGTCAGAGAACAACTATCCGCGCCCAGCACACGACGACGAACCTCGTCACCCGGTGTTCCCACCAGACGCGAGCAATGCTTCGGATACATCGGTGGTCGAATACAGAAAGTCGATTAGCATCCTCAACGCGGATGGGCCAGGTCTTGCAACCGTAAAGAAGGACGCTATGAGCCGCGGCGATGTACACCCTACCCTTGAGAGACAGTCGGATGTCATGGCGGCGCCATAGGTGTCGTAGGTTGGCTCTAGCGTTCACTATTCGTGATATGATCTCCTCCCCAACACCCCACCATCTGCGATCAAGCTCCCGAGGTATTTAAGCTCTCAACTACTTCCAACTGATCACCACAGAGGGTGAGTGNACCACAGAGGGTGAGTGCAGGCACAGGCTCCTGCCAGTCTTGAACAAGCACTTTGTGAAAAGCACTTACCATACGTGGATATTTCGATCGCCAAGCGGTTCAAGCGTTTTGGACTGCCTGTGTATTGTCACCAAGCAAGGCGGTGTCATCGGCATATTCTAAGTCAAGGATCCTGTCTCCTGGGAGGAGCTCGACCCCACCGTTTGCCAGACCAGCCAAGCATTCCGTAGAACATCCTCTATGATAAAGTTGCCGAACTCCACTGGAGACAGCGAAGGGCAGCAAAAGTTGGTCATAGACCCTAACCCGACTTGAGTTATGACGATACAACTCTTTGAGGATCGACAAATATTTCTCAGGTACTCTATTCCTCAACAAACAGTTACATAGTGCGGTCCTGTCAACAGAGTCGAAGGCCACGCGGATGTCTAAGAATATAATGATCGTTGGTCTCTGATAGGCATGAAGGAGCTATAGCAGCTGTCAGAGGGTGAAGATTTGATCGATGCATNTGCATCCACAACCAGTGCGAAACTCAGCCTGCTCCTCACGCATAGTGTACAATCGGCGGAGAATGACGGACGCCAAGCTTCAGAGAACAGAGCTTGTAGTCCTCTAATAAGCTTTATTCCACCATCTTTAAATAAAGCTGGGGGAAGGCCATCGGAGCCCGGCTCTTTGTGACGTCCCAAGGCTCGGATCTCCTTACTGATTTCTGCCCCAGAAGGTGGGTCTGTTGAGACAGACCATGGGACATGTGCCGGAATAACTGTGAGGAGCTGACGCTGATCGTCAGCTTAGTTGTGCTTTGAATTGCTCCGCCCAGCGTGCAAGTCGTCGCTGTTGATTGTAAATAAGCGAACCGTCAGCTTCGCAGATCGTTTCGCTCACACCCAACGCTTTCTTACCGGTAATCTGGATGAGATGAAACAACTTACGGGAATTACCCATGGCGGTCGCACGTTTCATCTCTGATGCGCGTTGAAACCACTAGATCTCGCGGTCTTTGCGTAGGCTTGCATTAGGTTCACGTCTCGTTACTAGTGTTTCATTATGCTTCTTGTGATGAGGGTAACAGTGCAGATGTACGACCATTATAGTCTGTGGACTGCTGACGGTTGGAGAAATAGTTGGCTAAGAGTTCGGTCTTAGGAGGTTGAACGATGCCTGAAGAGAGCGCATTTGGCAATATTTGCCTGTCTACCGTGTTGAAAGCATAATTATAGTCTATGCGGACAACCTTACTTTTCTCATCAAGAGTGGATAATTGGGAGAGATACCTAAGAGCATCCAGGGTACCTCGGGAGTAGATGTATGCAAACTGGCGTGGGTCAACAACATTGAACTGTGTGGATAGGGTTTTTAATCAAGGACCTGTGAAATACCGTTAAAACAAGAGAGGTGAAGGAAATGAGACAAATTTTTGAGGAACCCTTCTTCGGTACTGGGGTGATGTAGGCAGTTGGTAATACTTAACTGCGAAATACAATTATTGAAACGTTCGCAATACGGGGAAAGGAATGCAGAACATTTCTTTAGGACAGCGGGTGAGCCTCCATCAGGGCTACTGGGCTTACAAGGATTTTATCGGGTTAACTCTTGATAAATTTCGGCAGGGCAACAGGTTCGGTCATGCTCATGTCACTGCCATTACATAGGGCAGGCATTGTGGTTCCGTTGTTGATGAGGCTTTGATTCAGACCCTGTATATCCACAGAAATATGTGCGCGGCATGAGGATCTAGTGCCAGAAACGCGCATGAGGGCTTGTCGGGTGTCACCAGTACCGTTTATTTCAAGCTGAGCACGAACATACCCAAAGTCGAGCCTGGGAATTTCATCCCTGATGGAATTAGAAAGGGTGCGCACGTCATTGCACTTATACATTCCCAAGGCACGCTCCTTTTTACGATGAAATTGATGTGTGAAGAGAAGAATCGATCGGGGTGGATATAAATTGCATCTGATGGACGAAAACTGTAACGAAAGTGTGGGTATCTTGTTTATTGATAACAGAAAACGGAAGGGTCGGAATCGGGAAACAAAGTAAGGTTAGAGTGACTGATCCGAACGATGTTCGGTGTATCGAAAAATCGATGCGCCATGTGATATGTTTTACATAAGTTGTTATTTTGAAAATACAGCGATGTCGGTACGGTTGAAAATAAGCCGACGTTTCGGTTACTGTGGGTAACCTTTATCAAGGCGATTTTACAATCGATGGTAGGGGAAAAATCATAGAGTGATCAGACATCCCTAACTGGGACGGCATTCTACATAAAGTAAATTAGGAAAGTTTACTAAATTCAGATGTGCATCAACTCTGGTAGGAGACGTGAATATGTTTCGGAAACCTAAAGTGGTTAAGGAATGGGTATCAGAATGGTTAAAGTCACCACAAATTGAAATGTCCACATGTTCGATCAACTATATAGTTGAAAGTGTTTTAAGAATCATTGAGAACATCAGATGAGCAACAGGAGACATTTTATACATTCACAAGAATGGGTGACCAGGAAAAACTTTAATATTTAGGTTTGCATTACAGTACAAATGTATGTATATAGAGCATAGAATAAGAGAACACGTTTTAGGTCAGGTGACCATTGATTGATGTAATAACACCACCACCCGTCTTGACTAAGAAACAGGACGATCTACTCGATTGCTACCAAAACCGGGTATATTATTTCACCATTTATTCTGTTGTGAAACCAGCTTTCTTGAAGCATGATCATAACAAGCTTGGAATGTACCTGCTGTTTGGCTTAGTTGGTGAGGTCGGACATTACAACTGAGAGTGATGGGAACAAAAAAACTGGAGATAGTTTATTTCTGAAGAGCACCTCTCCAACCAACGAGACACTTGATAGTATTTTTCGAAAGCTTTCGGACCGTCCTCTTGGTTTTATTCCTTATTGTTCTCCTAAAACGGGTAGTAGCTATTCTTTTGGTATATGTGAGTGAATGCATGAAATCACGAGTGTATTTGTCCAAATTAGGTATTACCGTAGTTGAGCAATGGTCGCCTTGGCCTTGGCTACTCATTGCCTAAGCTGCATAAGTAGGTGGCCGAGCACTCCCATACGAATTGGTACAATTGGTGGGATTCGGCATACTGCTTGGCTGGAAGAGCCGGTATTCTGTTACAGATGCAATGAGTAGTGTGCCAGTGTACTTGCATTGTTCCAAGCGTAGAGCCCCTTTCCGGTTCTCTCGATGACCTTGTTACATGGATTATTCTCTGGTTAACTCTAATTTCACCTGTATTTGTGGGTTTTTTGGTCAAAGGGGCTGTGAATGTTTCCTTT